GGTTCACCAAGGCTGGTTACTTGGAATCAAAGTAAATCACAGACACGGCATGAGGATGTGAAATACCGGTTATATCTAGATTCCCTACAGCTCAAGCGCAGATGCATTACGCAGCTTAGCTAGTCTTTAACACTGCACTCAAAACTCCTATGGTGGAATCAGGCAGTTCCTTTCTCCAGGGTCCATAGCCATCCTTGTTTTTTCTTACTTTCCATTTGTTCTTTCCATCTGAAATCAAGACACTGGCAAGTAATAAATTTACCACCATACAGAGACAATGGTTTTCTCTTGCTGTACTAGCCAGACTCCTATTATTCTGTTTCCAATAGAATGGAGAGATTCCTAGCAGAAGCTTATAAGTATGTTGCATTATTTTCACTTAAGATACTTTTGAAGGCACATTACAGAACATTTTGGAGAAATAAAATGATTCTTCGTAATTTTCCATTGCAAAACTACTGGTTAAGAGTTGAAAAATGAAAGTGCTCACTTTTGAAGATTAGAAAATTCAGATTATGGGATTAGTTTGAAAAAGAAATAAAAGAAGCTTAAGCATTCAGTAACAAGAGAATCTTGTCATTGTTTAGAGGTAGCTTCAAACATCTATCCTAATAAATTGTGTAGCCATGCCTGCGATAATGTGAAATTATGAAACTGGCTTCTAAGTGAAATTGTACAGAACCACATCCTGTATTCTGAACCTAAACTATATTAAAAATCTGAGAAATGCATCATTCTGTGCTATCATCTTTATAAGTTTTTGGTTTTGCATTGTTTTGTTTTAATCTTCGAATCCCTTACATTATTGATAACAAATTCTGCTTGATTTGAGCACTTCTGCGGTGCCTACTGCAGAGCTTCTTAACTTTTACACTATAATGTAGTCAATGTATTTATAGTTCTTGAAAACATCACATGGTAATGTTATGCCAGGGACAGCACATCTCAGAGACTCCTTAAGATGTCTGCATTGTTGTATTCTATTTGTAGAGGCATTTTTGTCAGTGGCAGTGAAGAAACAGAGCTGCAGCTGCAGCTCTTTCAATATCATTCAAGCTTATAGTTGACCCGAGGGAATCACATTATGACATCCATATTTAATTTAACAATAAATCATATTTTCAGGGTCTACAGTATTGCATTATAACCTGACTGTTTTATGTGCATGTGAATGCAGCAAGAGCAGGCTAGTGTGTGTCCACGATGTAGACTAAACAGATAGTTCATGAGAGCAATATCAAAGTGTACAGTGACAAGACATAAAAGGTTTTATAACAAATCTTAGAAGTATGAGCAGAAAAAAAAGACCCAAAAGCAGTCCAGAAGAAACTGCATTTAATGTAAGGTGCATTTTTAAAATCCTCTTAACTCTATCACCTTGCTTACTGTCAGTTTCAGTTCTGCTCTGCACTTCTCATGGCAGTCAGCATCCTCTGTATCTCGTTTCCTTTTCTGCTACATTCAACTATATTTAAGGAGAAAATCAACACCATCTGAATCTTAAGCTTTACTTATCCCTTTCTTCTAGCAATAGTTTATCTCATTTGCCCTGCATTTTTCACTATTGACCTTCTAGCTAACTCCAAATTGAATGTTCATATGCTTTCTATTTACTTCCAGCTCGTCCTGCTTATTCTCATATATTCTTGCTTCTCATCTCCCTCTTATTTACCTCTGCCCATATCACATCACATCATCCTCAGCTTCTTTACCTTCTATTAATACTAACTTCACCTCTCCTTCCACTGTCTAATTCTCACAGCCCTCTGCTCTCTAACTTTCATTTAATTCATTTTTTCCTCCCCATCAGCATTATTATTAATCTTCTTCTGGCCAGATTATGGAATAACTTCTTTGCTCTTCTCCATCATCTGCCTGTGGCAACAGTTTATCCACTGTTTACATTGCTCTCCTTCATGAATTTTATGAAACTCTATTATCTCTTTTAAAAGGTTCCAGTTTCCAAAACTAAGTAGTTTCAATTACCTTTTTATTGGCAGCCTTGATCTTTGGTCTAGCTGTCATGCTTAACATATATTACATAAAATTAAGGAAGAGCAACGGTAGTAAAAGGCGATTCACAACTCTGATCCATTTTCTCTTTATACATCTCATCCAGCCTTCTGTTCATCTTCTCTTCATGCATTGTATCTAAATTAGATTTTAAGCTCCTTGGGGTAAGAAGACATCATTTTCATTTATCTGTAAAGTACCATGCATGCTTATGGCTCTGTAGAGATGTTAAATATGTATATCCACATTTATTAAAATATTGATGCTTTTATCTATCCGTATAGCGCAGAAGCAACATGGCAGTGTTTAGAAACTATTTTCCATCTTATAACAGCTATAATGTGATATATTTGTAGTGGCTCCATGCTGCTCACTCTCCGTTTCCTAGTTCATATTTACATTGTTATTTCCATTCTTATTAACTAATGCCGCCCCCAAAATAAAAATTTCGGTTTTATCTGACAGCATCAAAATCTTTTTTTAAAAATAAAGCATAGGAATAACATACAGTGGTTATTTTAGTTATTCACACTGTGTAATCAGTCTTATGGGTGAAGGATATTAAGTAAACTCATGAAATAAAAAGTCTGCTATAGAGCTCCAAAATCTTTCATTTCAAATAGTCTTGATATCCAAAATTTTAGGCATTCTGCACACCTGCAGTCCTGCTACCTATCTTGAGAGGCATTGAAGTATCTGATTTTCAGAGTACAAGAATATAGCTCTTTCTGACATTTAAGGTTTCAAAGAGGGAGAAAATATTTTTTGAAAATATTGGCTGACAATGTTAACACAAGAAATGCAAGCATGTATTCTAAAAGGCAGAAGGATTTTTAATGCAAAATATAATATCAGAATACACATTAAAATTTTATATTTACAAGTGCAGTCAGTGGCTGTTGATATACTCTTCTTTTTAGTCAGGCATACTTATTTCTTGGTTAGGCAAAAAAGTAAGTATGGCCAAATCCCACTGCAAAATCCACACAAGCCCCTATCATGACCCAGAGCTCATTGCATGAATGAGCCTGTACATTTCAAAAGTTAGCTCAAAGATAAGGAATTATTTTTGACACCAATTGCAGAGCAATTGAACTTTTCTGCTTCACATAACACTTAATAAATGGTTAAGAATTAAAGCATTGAATAAAGTGAACATCTTTGAAAATCCTGTTTTTCAGGGTACCTGAACTGAAAACTTGAAATGGGTTACTCATTCATGGGCCACTTTGTAGGGAGTAGATATAAGAAACTGTTGACTCCAAGCATCAGGGGAGAATTTACATGGGGATGAAGTTACAAGCATTTCTTCACAGAATGCTTTACAGCTGATGGATTTAATATTTATATTATCTTTGTACACAGAGACCTGTTTCAATCAGTGGCCCACCATGTTTATTGATGCATAAACAAATGGACGTAAATAAAGTATAATGTTAAAGAAAAACTAACTAAGCCTGTGTAGAGTTGCATTGGTTACAGTCAGACCACACATGTCTAAAAACTCTGCTGGACTGAATGAATGGCAAAGTAAGTCTCATTTTACCTGAATGTTGATGTCTCCCATATATGCACCAATCTCAAAGCTAGTCACCCTCATTGTCTTATTGTACACAAATAGATATGCACTAAGTGGTGATTCATCTGACTGACTTTAAATGTTTACTTCAGGATAAGACAATGTACATTGTAGAACAACTAGACCTGAAATTAAACCCATTTAAATGCTTCTTAAATTCTTGATATCTTCTTCAGAGTAAATCAAATCCAGACATTCTGTCTGCAAAGTAAGTAAACAAAACAGAGTCAATAGCATGACTCAAACACATTCCCTTGATAATCCATGGAAATTAATTTTTACTCCATTATATATCTCCAAATATGGCTTAGGGTCATATATGGCAGAGCATGGGAAGAGCAGTCCAAGGCAGCTAGAATGTGGTATACCACCTTTAGATAGAAGCAGACCCTACCAATTGGCTTCAGAGACAGAAAATGGTTTTTGCATCTTCCACTGAGCTGAAGAAACAGTTAATTGGCATGGCTGATAAGTCTAGGTTGTGACTTGGAATAGAAAGGATTAAGACAGACAGGTAGTTTTTAAACGGCTGTTTAAATTAAGGCAATGAAATAAAAAATAAAAGCATAGCAGAAATAAAATAGAAGCAAAATGAAAATGGAAGAATGACTACCAAAAATATTAAACAAATACATGACATTCATGATTGTGATCACTTTGGACAAATATGACAGGAAAACTGGATGAACCAGTATTTAAAAATACATTCTACTTGATACATAGAGAGATGACCTCCTCCCTGTAAATTACGTCAGAGAATGCTCTCAGCAGATGGAAGGTAGAAATGGAATTTCTAGAAGATCTCAATATTGGACCAACTATGTTTGTATCAAAGTCAATAGTAAAGAAGCTTCTAAAAAATAAAAAAAAAAAAGACAACAAAAACATACCAGCATTTAATACTGTTACCTATCATGACATAATGGCAAAAGCTGAGCTATAAAGGCTTAATAGACCAGTGCAGGAATGAATTATTACAGGGACCTCATTCTGGACAGGAGGTCATATTCTGAAAGGGTATATATATATACCCTTTATATATATATAATGGTCAGATATAATGGTGCACTTCACTTCACATCCTTCACAATGAGAAGCGTGTGTTGAGCATTTCTGCAGATCAGTGCTGGCTGCTTTGTTCAATTAATGGATGGTCCTACAACACTGAGTACATGAAATAGTGTATGGAGAACCTCTTTATCTATTTCCATCTAAAGATGTGGAAACAAGATTAAAACTACTTGCTTTACTTTCTGCTAAACATTTTTTTTTTCTAATGACATCACTTTACTCTGATTTATGTGAGTTTTAGCTTCAAGAATCACTGGTCATTGCTGAATGCAAATAAGCACAAAGGAAAATTACATAAAGTTAGAACAATTGATCTTTCAGCATATCAAATGGTACCTTATAAAATTTCCTGTAAATTCGACCTGAAATACTCCCATTGTTGGCTGTCATCAAGTAGAGCAGGGTCACTTTGGGAAAACCCATTCTCGGTGATGTAAATTAGAGGGTTATTATATATATCCCAGAACAAGAGAGCAGAAGTTTTATTCAGAACAGATGTAAGAAAGCCCATAAAATCAGATGCATTACCCTCTATCTTTTCTAAGCTAAAACTAAAACTAGTTTTCATCAAATTGCAGTGACCCTATTAACTTAATTTTCCATGAGCTGACCTTTTATGACTAACAATGGAAAAGCAAAACTGTGCAAATATCCATGAAGACAGTGAAATGACTTATTTTAATGAGAAGTCTAAAATATCTTTCCTGCATTAGCATCTGCTTATTGTGACTGCTCCTTAACCCCTTGGTACTGGCAGTCACCAGAAGTCCCATTGCCAGGGGTCGATCCATGCCAAGAATGCCTTACTGCTGGCATGAAAAAGATAATTTTTGGAGCTGAAAAGATGATAAAACACTGGTATTTCTTTTCAAACTGTAAAATAGCTATCAAGTATAAAGGCAGTAAGAAAACAATAAGGCTTTACTTTTTATAGCTGGCACACAAGCATTAAATTAAGAATCCCAAGGTGACTTGTTTATTTATATTTATACAATGTCTAACGCCATCCAGATGGGCTCCTCAAAAGAAAACAAATCACCAGTATTATTCGGTGGATTCTCAGATCCCCTTACTAGCCAGCTAGTAGTGGTTAAATTGTCCTGTGAGCCTTACGTCATACTTTGATATAATACAGAAGTCAGTATAAACCCCATGGTACTTCAGCGAGCCATAGACTCCCAGTTGCAACAGACCAAGAGGGATCCGTTATTTGCTCAGCCACACATGCCATTGAGACACTTCGCCTCTTGTCTGTGTTTTCTTGATCTTAAGTGAAACGATTCAGAGCAAAGAAGTCAGCAGTACACAAGGCCATCATTTTTAACTCTTTACTAAGTTCTAGAAGCCTTTACGATTAGTAACATTGAACTAAACATGTAGCAGGACTTTACAATGGCTTGATACTCACCACCAATAAATACTGTCCTGACAAAGCTTTTTAAGGTAAAGGACATGTACCCTTCCTTGTGGTTTGCTACCAAATTTACAGAAATGCTGCCAATCTGAGTTCAGAGCTATAGGCACAGGTCCACATTGTTTTCTCTAATTATCTTGACATAACTGTGCCAGGCTTTAGCATGAGCTTTTATCAAATTATGAACTGCCTTGTAAGGTCTGGTGCAAGATTCTGTTGTAGCAGGGGCTATACCTTTTCTACGACCATGTATAGCAACAACATAAGGCTCATTAATAATGATCCAAAGCTTCACTCAGTCTTCAAATGCTTTGCAGCAATATTTTGCACAAATTATCAAAGCTCTGAATGATCATTTTAGATCTCCAACCACCTTCATCTTCTAAAAAACTGGAGTAAGTCAAAGCAATACTGTGAACAGGATGTAATTTTCCAGGTTACTAATTATTTGCTGTAATAATTGACTCCTGGAAATACTGAAAAGAATAAAGGGGTTAATTTATTAAGTTTATTACATTTTAACGCATAAAGAAACCACACTGCACATTTTGCTCTGTTATGAGATGCAAAAATTCTCTCTCAACTGTATGCTGACTACTGTGACAAGAGCCCAGAGTTGGCAAAAATGCTCAGCACACAACACATTTCATTCAGGCACATAAGATGAAAAGAGGATGCAAATTTTCAAAATAGATCAGTGGACAGCAACTCCCCAGGAGAAAAATAATTCTGATTGGTGCTGGTCACATGAAAATATAATCCTTTCATTTTAATTCCCAAATGGCAGCCTAGCTGCAAGTACAAGATCAAAATGCATTGGAAAAATCCTGGCACAAGAGTTGGACAGGTAGATTTGTTCTAATGAAAGAATTTCTCTCCTTGAGAAGTGTATATTTTACAAAGTTTAGTTCCATACTCAGCAAGGTAAGTAAGACGATCTTTCATGATTTGAACTTTGTTTGCTGGTAAGCTGCTTCCTCCAGGCTGTTCTTTTCTCTGTCACTCTCCATGCCAATATCAAGACAAAGAAGACAATACCAATGCATTTAATACCTTGCAACGATGAGAATTCAATCATTTCCTCATTAGATAGGGCAACTTACCAAATCTATGTGAGATTTACAACTTTTCATGGGGCTCTGGTATATTTTAGAGTTTGGGGTGTGATCTATTTAACTACTAGCTCGAATGTCTTGGCAATAGTTTATCCAAGAAACCAACTCTCTTCCTTTTACACCACCATTACACAGACTGCTCAATCCTTCTGGTGCCAAGAAGGATTTAGCTCACCTCCCTAAAATCTCATGACTTCCAACCTCACTTGTCCCCCTTGATAAGACAGAGTTCAGCTATAATCTCTTGGATGCACTGTTAAAAGTGGCCAGCACTGGGGATGCATTTCTAGAGGCTTAAAGGGAATTCACCTTCTGTTCAGATTTAGTAGTGGTTGACATGAATATGTTTCCTAAAGGACTATTTTTATGCTGCTCCGAGTTCACTGCAAGTTTAAATATCAAAATACCTTAAGCTGTCACATAAGCATTTTTAATTTTACCTAAATCCAAACACAGCTACATTGCTTTTTAAGCCTTCTGAAAATATTAGATATTGCAAAACATATCATAAGCTCTGGTTCAAAGAGTATCAATTAGCATGCTCTTTTACTAGAACTATCTGGTTTAGTGAAATAATTGGAAAAGGCCAACAGTGGCCTTGAATTATTATTTGTTAAGCTACAAGGCTCCAGCCAGGAGTAGTTCTCCATCATGCTGGGGAATGGAGAAATCAGACAGCTTTTGCTTCAGAGACTTGGTCTAAATATACCAAAGTGTTAAAGAACCTTAGTGGGTTTTAGACTCCCACATATCCTAAAAAGACATAGCTGCTTAGGAAATATCTATCTTGAGGATATGCTGCAAACATAAACAAAACTCCAAACTAAAAAATGATTTCTAAAGTTGAGAATGCAGTAGAAAGTAGGAGGAGAAATTAAGAGAGAATAAATTAATTGCACAGATCAACAAAATATAGGCCTATGAGATTGTGGATGGTTTGTGTTATTATTACCAGTATGTGAACAAAAGATGTTTTAAATCCAAAAAAGAAACCGGTTCATTAATAGATATGTCTGTATTACATCGTACTATGTATTTCCAGGGGTTTGTAGGTTCATCTTGGTGTGTATTGATATTTAAAAATGTCAGCAGAGAACCCTGCAATAACTTCTTCTTAAAAAGACAATAATAAATTTCAGATTATCCTATCTTCAAGTTAAAACTTAAGGACTTGTGTCAAATGGCTTTTTTTAAAACACAGCATATACTGCAGCAATCAATTAAGAACCCAATATCTAGACAGTGACTTCTTGTAAACAAACATGTGCATACACATCCTTTAACACAGAAAGACTCAATAAGTGTGTTTACCATGTAATTCACAATAAATCTCACAGGTAGTTTGCTTTTCCATCCGAATATGTCACCGGAAGAACCGAACTTCTTAGGAGATATGCATATGAGTCTCAGAAGGCACCCTCATAAAAAGAGAAGGAATTTACTGGAACTGTAATTTTTGATAATTCTTGCCATTTGCAACCCATTTAGTGTAAAACCAGTTTGTTTCTGCTATATTTTAACAGGGAATCATTTGATCTGGTTGTGTGTTAACTGCTGCTGAAAGAACTGCAAGGTTTACTACATAAATTGATTTGAGGAAAAAAAAAAACGAAAACAAACAGAACAAAAACAACAACAAAAAAAGCCTCTTCACTGGTACACGATCCCATTCTACCACATTGGGAATCATGCTTCTATGGGGGTTTTCTATTCTAATAATAGGTAATAGGGTTTTCTATTCTAATTTTCAGAGTAGCCTGATTTAGTTTTTATGGCTATATTTGTGGGTTATCTAAAAGCAGAAATACAGAAGAAATCTTTCTTTCAGGAAAGTGTACAGATAAGGGATTTTTGGAGACACATCAAAATTATGGGATTACAGTTATTAAGGAGCACTTTATCACTGGAAAATGAAGGATTATTCTTCTCTCCTTGCTATTGTTTTTCTCTCCCCATCTTGATTCCCTGTCTTAATGCTGAAGTGAGGCAAAACATGCAACTCTCCAAGACTTAACAGCCCCATGGCGACTACTTCTGTCCTCCTCCACATCTGCACCCAGTGTATAGCAGATAACATTCTGCTCAGAACAGCTTTTAGGGCACAAATAACACTGCTAAAATACTTCTCAAACAAACTGTGCAAGTTTTAACCTAAAATCAGACACACCCTACAGCAGCGCTGCTTTAAGAGCCCCCAGACCCACTGAGTTGGAAACAGAATGGTTTTAAAGGTTTTCAAATGTCCTCTGTTTTAGGTGTGAAATTGGTAGGGAATCTCTTGGTGTGAACAATTTTATTTGAAAGGACATTGCTCTAAGCTTTCTAATTCTTCACATGCTCTTTATAAAAATGTTTATATAGAAGATGATGGCCTTTCCATGCTAGGCAGCTACAATTGCTTCAACAGATCACTGCACAAGAGAAGTGAACTCCTGCCTAATGAAAGCTAGCCTACTTGGAGTTTCTCCAGTGCCCTTTCGCTAAATGTAAAGTTCATAATATTAATCAGGCAACTGCTTATACTACAGATCAAGTGAACATTTTCTGAAATTACAGCTGAGTTTTGTCAAAATTTTAGCTTCCCTTACCAAGTGTCTACTTGCTTTCTCCCAGTCTGACATCTGAGAAACAAAAGCCTGTTCAGTGGGCTGTTCAGTGATGTTGCACAGTGCCTGCAGCACTAGCTGAAGGAATATCAGGACAGGGAAGAAACTACAAGGACTCAGCCAAATTTAAATTTGTTGTGCCACAAAAAACATTCCAAGGGAAGTACAAGCTGTGCTAGTAAAAGTGGGCCACATATTGTAAACTTTGGTAGCAAAGGGAAGGCTTCCATTCAAGCCTCTACGGGATGCTGGCACAGTTTTTGCAGTCATGCTCTGCAGGGAAAATGGCTGGTTGGTCTGTTTACAGCAGATCCCCCAGCCCCCTCATTTGAATTCCTGAAACAAAAGCTCCTTCACTCTCTAGTGAGAAATGTAATCTGCAGGATGCAGAGGACAGACTGCTGCCTCTTGAATAGACAAGCTCTCCATGACCAAAATCTGCAGAAGAATATTGCTTCTACTTCCTAGCGCAGATCAGGATAACCTGACTGACATTTTCTAAAAAAACTTGTCCCTTTGTAGCCTTCCATCTTTGCAAGCTTCAAAACAATGAAAGAAAGGAATTATCAAGGTAAACATTGCCCCTGAAATGCAAAGCTACATATTTTCTTGATAGAATTGAGTTTCAGAAGAGTAGGAGACAGAGCTAAGATTCAAAGGTTCATCCAAACGTACTTTGCTTTTGTTTTTCCTGGAACATCATCCTCCCAGAATAAAGGAGACCTCAGCCAACTGCTTTTTCCCATCCTTCCTAGTTCAGCTTCAGTTGCTTTTATAACTCATAATTCTCCTTATTTCTTCTTTTTTCCATTCCTTATTTTTTGCAGCGAAAACTACCATTTCCTTTCTTTTCCAATAAGTCATCTTCATCTTTTCCCCAGTCTATGCCAAAGGAATTAAAATTAAATCAGATGTGCAACAGATTCTATACCTGACATCTAGTAACCCAGCTGGCTTGTTTATATGTTATATCACTTTATGCTTAGACTTCTGCATCATCTGTTGAGATTGTGAAAATTCTCTTCAGAGTGTGGGCTGGCTTGTTTTGTCATAGACATAGCTATTAGCTGAGCCTAAAGAATCCCCTGTAATGTTCTAAAGAAAATATCTGGAAAAATTATGTCCCTCTTATTGTAAAACTGTCAACAAGAAGTTCCTTACATCAGAGTATGCTGATAACCTATCTAAATCTATTTGCCAAGTAAGAGACTTCTGCATTGTAAGCCATCCAAAAATATCCTCATGGCTAGGATTCTTGTAACTAAAAACATTCTGATGTAGCAAAATGATTTAGAGTAACAATTAAACTGATGTAAGCAAAAATACATAGGAAACATACTATTAATCCTATCCCAAAAGATTGTGCTATCCAAAGGGATCTAGAATATTAATTAGTAAGTTGTTGCAAACCTATAAAAAATCATCCCATAATTACTCTGAAAAAAGTTGCAATTTCAAAGCTACGCTGCAGAATAGCTTACTGGATTAATTATGCCAGACTGCAGCAATAACCTTGAATTAAAGCTGCAACCTTCTATTTTTAAGAAACAATTGCCTTTCTGGTTGATGAAACCTGTCGTCCCATCAGGTAACAGACGTGACCAGGAAAGAGAAAAGCGATAATGAGTCAATCCAAGCTGTTTGATACATTTCAAATCTTCCTCCCACAGAGTGTAGCTGCCACAAGCTACATCACCAGTCTGGTTCTTGAAAACTCGATCTCCTCCCTGATGGGTGAATGTGCCCCAGACATTAAGGCCCCTTCCATCTGTATTCCAGCCTTCTGCTTGAAAAACAAAACTTGGTTGTTACACTTTTGACATCAGAAAGCATATGTTGAATGTAAATATTTATCACAAAGTAGGCACAAGAACCTCAGAATCCTAAGAGAAAAGATAGTGGTATTCCCTTCCCCCTCCTCATATCATTTAAAGTACCTAGGAACTTTCAAGCATTAGTATATATTTGCACTAGGTTTTGCATTTATTCATATTTTTGCTAGCTGCTAATTATTTGAAAATCCTGTTTCTAAAAGCACTCGGAGTTCTGACACACTTCGTATTTCCTTAGCCAAAAATCTGACGTTTGCAACTCTGGAGATATTACAGGTTTTCACAAAGGGCATTTTCTAACACAGCTTCCATCCATAAATGTAAAAGATCAGTCCATATCAAAGAAAGCCTTTAGGGTATGAGAAATACATCCAACAAATAGGCACTTATGGCTTTCTAGATGTCCTTTGAAAATCCTGACAGTCTGTTAAAAAGAAAGGAATGCCATTATGAGCTATGGCCCTAGGCATATACAGGCTGAATTAATAACACAGCTCTGCAAAACTTCTGCTTTTTGCCTAGCCAAACGTTCACAGAAATGAATTTTAAATGTTCAAAATCCCTGCACCATTTTCTTCACTCTCATAGACTGGAGAAATTTCTTTGCAATTCCAAAACAGAGGCAGTGAGATTATCTTTAAAATATTCGAAATCTCACTGTTGTCTGAGATCACACATTCTTAACATTACATACTATTGAAGCCAAACAGATGTACCTTCCTTCCTGATGAGTTTCTTTGTCTTTCCAGAGCAATGTTGTAGCAGAGGTAAACATTCCATTTTTAATGTGGAGAGCTCTGTAAACTTAAACTCCTGCAAAGTGTGATTTTATCATGAAATCCAAATGACCCCATGATGGCCAAGCACATTCACCAGCAAGATTTTTCAGAGCTCCAGTAAATGCTCTGTTACAGTTTTACTCTCTAAAAACTAAAATGACATTGTGTGTTAAAATCACGTATAAATTAAATATCAGTTGGGTTGTAAGATTAATAACTATATAATAGCTACATATCAATCCTCAATAAAAGTGTTTTAATAATCAATTAGTATCATAGAAATTAGAGATGGAGGAGAACTATTAGGAGGTCATTGAGTCCATCCCCTGCCAACGCAAGATTGCTCCCTTAAGTATATTCAGTACTTAATACACATCTGTCTTATTAAATCTAAGTTTAATGCAAGGTTAAGCATATTGAAGACACTTAATTTAAAGCATTACTAAAATTTGTAATATCCCTTCTGTAACCTAGCTTTTCAAAGATCATTGTCACATTTCATGTTCTTTACAGAATTTTATTGCAGCACGTGAACACTGATACATCCACATTTGGTTGGTCAGTCAATTAAACTCTTATGTGGGACAACCTTCAAAGTAGGTCAAATTTTAGATCCAGGCAGCTTGAGTTTCTTGTTATCTCAGACTTTATCATAGATCTTGTGCTCTGTGTGCATGCTCCTCAGAAAAATGCCATACTGTAAGTTTTCCTGCCCTGCTTTCGATTTTAAATATGCCTGCAAAAATAAATTTCAGAGGAGTGCATGTAATAACAATTAATAGTAGTTCTTTTGTGATACTCAGAACTTGGAAGCCCTTAAGAGCAAGCTTCCACATCAGTGCTATAAGCTATAGCTCCTTTTCACCACAGTGGGGTGAAGGGAAGCCAAAAGCTCCCAGACTGGGCACCTAAGACACTTTTATTTAAGAATAAGCAGCAAGTGCAAATGCTGCACCATTACTTTTTTGCCTGCCTTCCTCCAGCAAAGGAGATGGGTGGGAGGGGGAAAGCACTTGATTTCTAGCAGACTGCCAGTACTTCTCTGGTGGTCACTAGTGGCTATAAAGCCCTGACTGGGGCTATGTAAACCAACCCACTTTTTCAGTGAGCCTCTCTGTACAGTGCTGAGTACCCAAGCTAGCTAAATAAAGTGCAGGAAGTAATCTAGCCCAGGCAACAGAGAACTCAATACACACTAAGATACCCTGCTGAGACACAATTAGCCTGCACAGAGCTCTGCTCTGCTTCAGCTAGCTTCAATGAACTGAGCCTGCTCCTCTAAGTTTGCTCAGAAACCTTAGCGCTGTGCTCTTACTGTAGACATACCCTGAGTTTTAGTGAACTTCGGGGCCAGGAAAAACACTGATGGGGAAACTGATTTTACATTTCAAATACATAGTAGAGGCTTAGCTACCAAATCCTTACATGTCAGTATATAATATGTCAATAAATGATGAATAAAATGATGAACATAATGAAATGTGATGCATGTTCCCCATTCTCTGCAATTATCACAATGGAATAAGAGAAAATTATTTTCCTTTTAAGTGGAGCTAGTGAAGCAGGGCTATTACTGATCAGATTATTTGAGTTTTCATATACTTTGCAAGTTTGCTTTTCCTCTAAATTAACTATGTTTTCATCCTTTGGTGTGAAATTTTCTTGGCTTTTTCTCTGCCCAAAAGGTAAAATTTTGTTTGAATTAATGTAGCTCAACTATTTGGCATAAGAAAGAAGTGAAGAAAAACACTTTTATCATTACAAGAATTTTTTGAAACTTTTCCCTCTCTTAAAAAAAAAAAAACAAAAAAAAACAAAAAAACAACAACAAAAAAAACAAAACTAAAGCGGGGAGTTGAAATTTAGCATAGAAATGGTCCTCAGTAAGAAGAAGTGCCTTTGAGTGTTCTGCTGCAAATTGATTTTGATTTGACTGAGTCATGAACCTCTGAAATCTGCACTTTGAGCATGCAGAGTACAATTGGTATGATTTTTTAACACTTTGAAATATACAGAGTGAATAAGGTTGTGCTGTGCATAAATACATAGCTGACAGTGAAAAGAAAGTAGCCTATCAGCCTTTGCCTCATCCACTGTGGATCTTGTGATACATGCAGCAACCGAGTTTGGACTCTACAAGAACTATTGCTTCAATCATGCTGCCTTTAAGTCAAAAGCTGCACAGCTTCCACAGCTTTCAGGAGGAGAAATTCCCTGTTGAGTTTCTTACTTCAGTGGGAAAGGGGTCATTTGAGTAGTGTCTAGACCACATTATAGATTTTTTTTTTAACATCTCTCCCACTCAGAAGCCTTAGGAAAGCTCATTAAAAATACATTAAGAGAACATTATAGTTGCACTTCCAGCCACTCAAAAGGCAGGAAATTATAATGTCCTTCTGTATGCACACACAATTCACATTTTAAGAAATAGTTAGCAAAGCTGTGCGCGTTGCTGGACTCGAGTTAGGACCTGGCCCAGAATATTGATTCCCAGGGAAGAGCAGGCTGTTCAGGACATTAGGTGAAATGAGCAGAGGTTGTTAAAAGGTTCCAGGCCTGGGTAAGTATTCTCACTTTCAGCAATAAGCAAGAACTAAAGGCTACATCCTCAAAGACAATTTTAGATCTACAGTTCCCATTTAGTCACTGAAATCAATGGGAGCACAGTGCCAGTATGCTGCAGGGTATAATATGAGAAAATCAGATCTATATGTGTTTTAGTGGTCTCTAAACACACATTTATGAAGAGGGAATGGTTGGGGGCTTAGAGCTGTCAGTGTCCCTGTACATTGTGGGTTTGCATTCCCTGCTCTGCCACACAGATTTTTACCATGCTGGGCAAACTGCTTTATCGGTGCCACCATTCAGTTTGGAACATGACACGTGTCAGGAGCCTCAGTAAGTCCTGCTGTTAACCTCCCAGCTCTCTGTTTTTCACATTCCTTGAAGATTCCTCACTAAGGACCCCCATGAGTACTGATATCTACTAGGTAGTATTCATGCCCTGTTTTGGAATAGCCAATAGTAACCTTCCTAAATTAATTCTAGAAAAGGAAATAAAAGCTAATGGGAATATTACTTATTTCTTTTTTTTTTTCCTCTTCTTTTTTTTTTTTTCTTCCCTTTTTTTCCCTTCACTCTCAGTAGATAGTGGAAGCTCCTCCCCGTTTCCAATTCCTAACCATACGGTTCTGAGATTTGTAAAATCTTTTACCCTCTTCTTACTGCTCGGGCCAGAAATGTTTAAATGGAAGTGCTACATGTATTTGCATTAGATATAGCATCTATGCAATGAAGGAGAGATCTCTCCTTCCCTAACTATTTGGCATTTAAAAATTGACACCTTCAATTTGAAATGCTGCTGTAGCTGCACCCCAAGCAAATCCAGCTGGAAAAGCAATATCCTCCAGCAGCAGCTGCAGAGGAGAGGCGAATACACAGCATTATGTGATGCTATGGAGATGCGGGCCTCATTTGCAGACAACAGTTTCTGGCTCGATCACTCTTGCACTTGTTACAAGCAGATTCTATACTGAAGACAAAAATAAACCCTGTGCAGCTTCACAGGCTGAAGGGCAAGCTATGCACTTTGCATATCTCAGGATTAGAGCAGAGAAGTTCAGTCACTAACAGTGGAAGTGAAGAAGGCAGCAGTGGAAAAGCCTACAGTGGTCACAGTGAAAGGGCTTCACTAACATACAGAGCAGGTGCCTCTTCTCCTCCCTCTTTTCCCCCACTGCCAGAGGGGTTTGTGGACCCTTAACACAAAGTATATCCTTCAGATAACAGGCAAAGACTCATTTCCATCCCTTCCTAGCTTCAAAAAGCAGCAGCTTCTCTGCCCTTCTCACATCAAAAGTATATCTTTTTTCTCTGTCCACACCAAAAAAATTGGTCTGTCCGTGCTGCAATGGATATGAAAGGCTGTTTTAGCCACTACTTGTTTAGCAATGGAAATCACTGAGTAGAAGAGAAAGGTTTATGTGGGAGTACAGGCAGAAGAGCTATCTTTCTCTTTCCTTGAAGTCTCATGGATACTCATTTTTTTTCACAGAGAAGCAGCGACAACTTTATGGCATGTGTGCCAGGACAAACATCTGCAGGGCAGCCCCTGGGTCCTCTCCTCTGCCTCCTGTCAGCGCTGTACCTGCTGCCCTGTCACAGGCTGAGCAGGAAGTAGCCACAGGAGAGCTGGCTAAGCAGTAACAAGTGGGATGGACTGAAAGGAGTTGACTGCCCCTTTCCAGCAAACTGCAACACCTGGCACACTAGATGGCACTACTGTAATTTTTTTATTATTATTTATCTTCATTATTACTATTTTGAGTTAGAGAAGTTTTCTTCCCATTTATTATGTTATTAAAGCCACACTGCTTTTACCAAGGTCAATATTTGCACTAATTGGACCATCAGATGATAACACACACCCTTCCAAGAAATATTCACAACTTAAAAGTCAACTCATTAGCAAAATGAAAGCCTTTGGAGAGATACAGAGAAGCTGATTTAAATCCAAAGTGCACGTTACAGAACCAGACAGCGCAGATGCAGTGCAAAATGAATCAGACTTTCACAGCAGGCATGTGTTTCCTCAAGTGTCTTTCAAAGGAGAGGTAAAAGCATTATGAATACAAAGGAACAAGGAGGGAAATGAGGCACAGCATACCAACTTGTTCCCAAAACACACAATGACGCATATGGTAGGCAGACATGCCCCTTACACATTTCATAGAGATAACTGAAAACCAGTGCAATTAATGGGTTAATGTTCTCTGTTGGAATCAGCCTCCTCAGGCTTTCACATGCAAGCTATTGGACAGCTAACAGTAAAACACACTGGGGACATCTTAAACCATGATTAATAGGTATTAATGAACCAGAGTAATTATACATGTTTTTTGCATCACTAATGTTATTGGTAGGTACTTTTTAAAACCTAAGTGATAATAATTATTTCCCCAGAAAATCATACAATTCAATTTCACGAGAGATATAACAAATATGGAGCTCAGTAACATGGGGGAGGGGGCAGGCAGGAGACTGTAGCAATAAAAACCCAATAAAAAGTTTTATAAAAATGTTTAACCATAAATACAAGGCTAAAAAGTGTCATTGATGATTCCCAGGCAGGAATCAACATAGGCATAGATGGGTTTTAGGAGAGACTGAGTGGGTGAAAGATATTCCATAAGCAGTCTGGTCTGGGGAAGAGTGAACAAAATTTGCCTCAGAGGTTAAGGCAGGTTCAGAGTAATGAGATAGCAGACTATGTCAGATAAGTAGGCAGATACTGACAGATGCAGAGCTTCAAAATTCAGAGAAGCTGAGTTTATAGCAGCTAATCTCCATCTCTTCTGGCAACCCAATTCCTATATTTGTGACCTCATTTTGGGTTGTATTTCTGGATTCGTGAACCCATTTCCTGTTGCAGATGTGGGACTTGCAGTTATATCTCCATTAGATCCACTTCATGTCATGGCCCTTAGGATGCATGCCTGACTCCTCACGAAGCCTTATTTCTCTGGCAATTTTCCCCACATAGAGTAAGCAGTCTCACTTCACCCTAAAATTCAGTGATTCACTGCTCCATTGTTTTTTTCTAACACCTACAAACACAAAACATTAAGAGAAGCCAGTAATACCTAGACATCATTTTTTTCAATACAGGAGTTAGTTTAGTGTAGTGTTTTGGGTTTTTTGTTTGGTTGGCTGGCTGGTTTTTTAAACATTTGCTCTGACAGAGACTATATGTAATTTAAAAAGCTCAGGTAAGGTATTCCAAGGAAAAACTGAGTAGTTCTTGGACATTGAAAACACTTGGATAAAGACAGTTTTGGCAAGTCAATAAAAATCAAGAGTAATTGGGTCTGATGCCAAGAGTTGGCAGCCCATCTTTACAAAATGCTAGGTGTTGTATCAAGGTGAAAGGTGAACAGGTTTTGGTTCTGGCCCCTCAGAACACATGGGATTGATTATTATCAGATTATATTGTCAAGATGGGTTCTTCCTGACTGAATCTGTTTCCTATCTATGTATTATAAATATGTTTAATAATATTTACAGTGTAATTTAGAAATTAATCTTTGAAAAGGTTGTGAAAATTAAAGTCTTTCTCCTAAAACAATACACTGTGCAGAAACAGAAGAAGAATATAGTTACTTTGGAAGTGCACTTCTCCAAAACAGTTGAAGATAGAAGTTCACGTATTTCGCAAGTTGTCTTTGAAACTGCTACTCATAGATTTAGCTTTCTTCCCTGGCAACATAATGGACCAGCTATTGAGGAAAAACATTAACTAAAACACTTTGAAGTCTACCAGACAAAGTCAATTTTTTAAATAGTAATACAAAACTAATGAACGGGCAGCACAAGTTTTACTGTCATGTGTCTGAATAGTAGCAGTACACAGTTTTCTTCAGGACATTTTAGCAACAAGCTTGGCTGTTCTCAATTACATTACAGAGATTCTTTCCACCTTGCACTGTTGCTGCAGCAGAGGACTTCCAACTTTGATAATCTAAATTGAGCCTTAATTAAAACCCTCTACTGGACTGTTGATTAGGATTTCTTCTCCTGTCTGCAATGTGTCAAAATACTGTTCCCAAGCTTAAATCAAATTGGAAAAGAACTCTCATGGTGACTGAAATGAAGGGTGATGACAAACAATGAAGGGTAATGATAAACAATAACTTTGAAGGGAGGCATTTAGTGCAGTACACAGAGATTAGTATTACTTCTGATCTCATTTAATAGCTTCAATAATGAGCTAGAAGAGGGAGTAAATGGTACATTAATGAAATCTGCAGATCTATTAAACTAGGAGGAGCTGAGCATACTGCCGAAAATGGAGAAATAATACAAGGGGTCATGGCAAGATTAGAAACACAGGCAGAATGTTGTAATGAGATTCAGTTTAGAAAACAGAAGAGTAATATTTGGGTAAAAAAGATCAGCAGACAATTACAGGTATACACCTGACATTTGGGCAGAACTGATAAGGACTGAGCAGCGATGACTAAACTTTAAGTAGCTCTTCAGTGTAAACAGTTCTACCATTAGCTCCCCTCTGCATTGAATCTGAGCACTGACAAAACAAACTATCAGTCAGATATTCAGAGACTTTGCAACTACAGATTTTTTTTTTCCATGAAGAAAACTTAGAAGTAAGCCATCCATTTCACAGAGCATTGTCCTTCATGGAATGAATGACATAACTGCAAACCGCTGGCTAAAAAATAGTAAAAGCATGAGACTGAAGAAACAAAATATTATCCCACTGCTTCTGGTAATTTTATCATGTGTTTTTTTTTTGGTTTTTTTTATTTTTTTATATATTGCTTAGGAAACTTCCAGTGCAATTCTATCTGCTATGAACTTCCCAGTACTGTGCAATATATGTGCACAATATGTTGGAGAGCTAAAGCTAGTAGTGAGCAAGTTAATTCCACTTGAAGAGCTCCCAGAAATTATTCTTGCTGAGAATCACAGTATGCAAGTTACAGTGGAGTGCCAAGTTAATGTTATATCACTGCCTGTATCAGAGAGTTTCAGCAATTCAGCATGGCACAGCATTAGGATGTAGAGTATGTATGTGAAGCGATATTCCATATTGGCCATCAGTCATCAAAAGTCCTTGGTAGTTCTTGGCTGATGACAGATTCGTCCTTTATTGCTGAGTGCCTCCATACAGAATTTTTAAGTGGGCTGGGCCACTCAGGAGTTTGTCACTGTCACAACATTACAACCCAGCACTACCTGTGCAAGGAGCAAGGCGTTGATCCATAGCTTTAAATTTGCACACTTCGGTAGAAAAATTGGCAGAAGCCTTCTCATATAAAACCATGCTCTATTCTACCTGAATCTCTGCATGTCCTGCCATTCCACATTCCTGGATTATGTGCTTTCCTAGGAAATAGGCTGAAAACCAATGAGCCATCATGTAAAAATGTAGGTCTTTAAAAAGGAGAAGGATTTAGATGAGGGCTGTTCCAAAAATAATGCCTCCTATTTTGTGTACTCACAATGATGAGGGCAGACGTTGGTGGTAAGACAGTAGAGGTTGAACCTTTCCATCAATATTCTATCACATTTTGTTTCTTTGTGACAGATGGCAGCAGAGGGGCAGTCTCAGAATGGCATCTGACATGGAAGTGTGGATGAAGCAAAGGTGTGTCACTGAAAAAATAGCACCCATTGACATTCATTAATGCTTGATGAACATTTATGGAGACCAAAGAGCAGATGTGAGCACAAGTGAAGCAGTGGGTGATACATTTCAGCAATGGTGGCAGCAGCAGCATGAAAGATGAGTCATTCTGGATAGCCACATAGATTTGCAGGAGTGCAGCAAGCAAGTTCTTGTTCACTGGCAAAAATACATTGTTAATGGTTTTGACTTTTGAAAAGTAGTGTTTTATAGCTGAGAATTTATTCTAGCAGATACTGTTATTGTGCTCTTCGCATCTGATGTATTTTCCATGGAAACAAATAGGAAGCATTACTTTTGGAGTGACCTCCATTTATAAAACCAACAAAAAGTACAGTATGTACATGTGGACATGACAAAAGTTTCATTCTCCCTTGAGAATGAAACTTTTTTGTTTCATCTCTTCTTTGTTGCTCCAGGGAGAGCTGTCTTAAGTTTTCCAGAAGTCCAGTCTCAAGACATTTGTAGAAACTGCCTACTGGCAAAGTTTCCTGATGTGATTTTGCTGGCAAAATACCTGCTATGGCTAATCAGATTGGTTGCAATTGGTTAGGATGATGTTGGGATGATTTTTAACTAAACTTTTAACACTTTTAAAACAGAAGGCCCAGAAGTCTTAGATACATGTGAAAGCAGTGCAGTTTCCTGTTCAACTCACAGATTCATTGGCTAATTCTTCACAGAGCTGAATATGCAAAATCATGCACATATCACCTTCACTGCGCACACCAAGTTCTGTTCTGTTTTAAAACCAGTATGAGCCATTTTTTTCCCACTATGTGCACTTTGAAAGTCCAGCATCTTATTCAAGCTTTGCCTGACTTTGGAACATTATCCAGGTGTCCATAGGAATGCAAATGTGGAGGCTGATTGTGACTCTCTTGAAAATATTGGCTTAGAACCTGGCTGTTTTGATGCTTCCCCTATGTTGCTGCAACTGTGCCCTGAGAGGAAGAGATGTGAGCTCCAGCCACAGCACACAGTGTCAAAAAGCTGAGATATCTGAGGTTCTACATGAATGATGCAGCATTGTCCTTAATAGTCTAACAACTGATCTCCATGGAAATCACCTACCAGATTCAACTGAATTTGATGAAAAAAAATAACTTTTTTTGAGAATACACAGCTAAATAAGTGGTTTATAGTGGTGTTACAACTGATGGATAGCCTGAAAAGTAAGTCCAATTATATTGGATTATATATATATATACACACACACATATATTAAAAAAGTCCTATTACATTAGACATCAGAGAATACACTCATAGGAGACATATTATGAGTGCTAATACTTGCAAATGCTTCAAGCAAGATGTATGAAACTACACAAAAAAGCAAAAATCAAAATTCTCATATACACTTGGTTTTAAAAATTTGAATGTCACTTCACTTTTTTTTAAAGTTCTTAGAAGATTGTTTTGCTGAAACACTAGAAAAAAAACTGTTTTGTATTTTTTTAAACCTTTTAGATATTTATGTATTTATTTACTTTAACACATGCCTAG